TAGGTATAGGGTGAAGTAGGTATAGGGTTGGAGGAGGTTTAGGGTTGGAGTAGGTATAGGGTTGGAGGAGGTTTAGGGTTGGAGTAGGTATAGGGTTGGAGTAGGTTTAGGGTTGGAGTAGGTATAGGGTTGGAGTAGGTATAGGGTTGGAATAGATATAGGGTTGGAATAGGTATAGGGTTGGAGTAGGTATAGGGTTGGAGTAGGTATAGGGTTGGAATAGATATAGGGTTAAAGAAGGTATAGGGTGAAGAAGGTATAGGGTTGGAGGAGGTTTAGGGTTGGAGTTGGTATAGGGTTGGAGTGCGTATAAGGAACAGGAAATTTGCATTCAAATCATCACTATAAACTAATCATCATCACCAACTCTTGATGTTAAATCTCACTCAATTACCTCCAACACCTTTTCATGCTGCTTTCAGTAACTAAAATCGAAAAAATTATTATTACAAAATTAATTCTCACATTTTGACCCAAATAGCCAGCAAGTAGCATGAAAAATTCAATTATTTTAATAACAGATTATAGTCAATCGTTCAGAAAAAAATTCATTAAATGCTTTATCATACATATCACGTGTTGGTAATGAGCTTATTTACTTTCAATTCACATTTTCCATTTTATTACGTATGAGGATATTTAATTAGCTTAATGAATATGGAGGGGTAAATGGTGACAAATAGCTAAATATGACAAATGATGAATCATGATTATTGATATTTTAATGCATCAAGCGTGTATAGTCATGCCGGAAGGAAATCAATCGATCAATTAATTATGAATTATTATTGATAAATTTACATTTAAATTTTTTCTGGGTGCCTGTTGTATTTTTAGGATTCGTACGCGTGTGTTTATAAGAAAATTGAAGCACGAAAGCTTATGAGCCTCCTTAATTCATCTTCAATCTTTCACGTACGCTTCCATGTTTTTAAATCACCCCCAAAAAAATAAATCGACAATTTAAAAAATAATAAAAAATCTCCAACAAACACGAGAAATTCGTGTTCATGTAGAGATATCCACTCAGCGGGTGAGCGACACTTTATGTTGCGGCTTGAAAAATTATCACCGATTTCTGTCAATTTTTTATCACTTTTTATTCACCAGCCAGTGGTACAATAATAATAATAATTTTAAAAAAAATGACCGGAAAAAATAACAAGCCATAAAAGACACGGACAATAAATAACCACAGGAGTTGAACCAGGATTGTGGCATGAATTGAACAACTGATTGCCTTCTCAGCCATTGTCACATGAATATTTTTTTTTGGTCGTATCGCAACATGATTTTTCAGTTCTTTTTTATCCTTCGTCTGATTCTATTAAACATTTATTGAGTGCATTGTGGGCTGGAATCCTTTCCCCTTTGTTAACCTTTCACTTCCTTTTCTTTTCAATATTTTGTGATATTTTTTTATTCATGACTTTCTTTTGGTTCCCTTTTTTGGCACTTTTTCTTCAAGTCATTAAAATTAATGTTCCAAAAATTTATTACATGAAAGTATTAATGGCAGCAGAATTGGTGGTTGAGGAATAAGTTTTACCATTTTTTGGGGTCGTTTGCTAGTGACGTACAGGTTTGGATTTTGGTGATATAGCTTTCTTCTCCATTATGTGATATTTTCGGTTCAGGGTTGCGATACAGGCACCTGTGGACAGGTGAGAACCGTACAATTCTTGATAATTTATAAGGTTTTTCTAACAAAACTATATAAATTCTAATAAAACCTCACAAATTATCAAGGAATTGTACGGTTCTCATCTGAGCACAGGTGCCTGTATCGTAACCCTTTTTTGACTTTTTTCTTCTGCCAGGAACCTAAACCCATGCCATGCACTGCCTTAGTCCCTGAATGGAGCTGATCCTACTTCCATCTTCAAAGCGCCATCCAACATGAATTTTCATCATTTTTTCACAGCCACAATCATTTTTATTCACTGCCATAATAATGATTTACTGATTGTGATGCCATTAAAAACTTTTTTGCTCCTTGCAATTTTTTTTTATGATTTAAAATCACTTTCATATTTTTTACAGCATTTAGAGACCAACATCAGTCTTGGAACGTGAGAAATGTAACCTCAGCAGCATTTTTTTGGGTTGAATGTGCGGACGTAATTGTTATGGCTGTTGCTATTAGTCGTGGTACAGAGTTGGGATGTATGAAGCTTCTATTGAGAGGAATGTCATGAATATATCGAGGACTAAAGCTTAATATCGACTTGCGAATTCGATGCAAAGCCTAAAATATGCTCTTAAAGCCAAGCTGGGTATGAAATTAAGGAATACAATATGACTGCATCCTGTAATTCAGATGAAGTTTCCCATGCTTTGGAACATTCACCTTCATCCAGTTAAACCAAGCTTTTACCAACTCTGAGTACGACAATGTACAGTATTAAGTAGGAAGTGATAAATGAGAATGTGGGGGATACAAGGACCCAAAAGGGAGAAGAAATTAATTTAAATTACCAAAAAATAAGTTACAAACTGCTTCCAAAAATAGAACAAAAAATTCACAAAAATTTTCTAAAGCACACAAGACAAAAAAATTAACAGTTCCACCAGACTGCTGTTGCATCATTCGCTGATTTTATCACATTATTGTCTGTCTCGAGTGGGAACTTAAGATATTCCATTTGTATTCAAATCCTTCCTCAATTTCAGTTATTTCTGTGTCTCCCTCCCCTGCTGAACATTTGCTGAGTGGAAATTTCATTACAATTTTTCGTCTCATTCTTCCTATCCAATTGCTGGTAGCGAATGTAATAGTTTGCAAATTCGACAAAAATTCAATTTTCACTTCTTTTTCTCAGCACGATTTCATGTTTGAGTGGTTGAAACAGTTGTAGCAAGTAGCATAGAGAAATAAAAGACAAGGTTGGGTGAGAAATAAGAAATAAGACATGAGAAATCAAGAGAAAAGTGAAAGAATTTTCTCAGATCGTTGGATAACTAAATTTTCAGACTGATACTTGAATTAAGGTTTGCTTCTGATTCGATACTTCTGCTGTATTCTTGATTTTTTTTTGAAAAGATATTTTGTTGTAGATTTATTTGATCGGTATTTTACTAGTAATAAAGGATTCGTTGAGATTTTCATCAAATTTTAAGACAGATGATAAATTTTATATGTAGTTGAACGCCCTTTGAATGTAGTTTTGTACCCCTTGTATATACTGTAGGGCACATTGTATGTAGTTGAGCGCCCCTTATAAGGTTTAGCACTCTTTTTAATTGGTTGAGCGCCCTTTGAATGGAGTTTTGCACGTCTTGTAGAAACTGTAGGGCACATTGAATGTAGTTGAGCGCCTTTTATAAAGTTTTGTACTCTTTGTAATTTTTTCAGCGCCATTTGAATAAAGTTTTGTACCCCTTTTGAATTCTATAGTTTAGCGTGTATTTAGTTGAGCGCCCCTTATATGGTTTAGCACCCCTTTTATGATGTTTAGCTCCCCTTATATCTAGTTCATAACCCCTGTAACAAGCTACGCCTCGTGTCTGTAATTGAGCACTCTTATTGAAGTTGAGTGCCAACTGCAAGCAATTAAGAACCAATTGAGTGTAGTTGAGCTCCCTGCAGTTGAGCGCCTCTTTAATGTAGTTTATATATCCTTGTATTAGACATCCTCGCCCTTTGCTTGTAGTTTGGCACCGCTTGAATGTAGTTTGTCATTACTTAAATGTAGTTTAGCTCCCCTTATACCTAGTTGAGCACCCTTTGTATCTAGTTGAGTGCCCATGGTAGTTACTTGAGATTCCGTTGTATTTTAAATTCCTTTAAAAAATCCCATTCATCAAAAAAGTCATCCAACTTTTTTCATTCACATCGTGAATTATATTCACAATAAAATTTTCATATCCTGCAACAAAAAAATATGCACAAAACAAAATTCATCCATTTTAATTCCCAATTCCATGCAGAATTCTTTGAATATCGACAATCAATTGCATTTTCACGTACTCTAAAGCTTTGATTTTTTGATTGCAATTGAATACAAATGAAGCAGCAGCATCGATAGTCAAGAGAAAAGAGGGATGAAAAAAAAATCAAAATTATTCATTTCCAAATGCTCTTTACACGTAAAAATGATGATTGCGATGTGGCCATTGAGCGCCAGCTATAGAAACAAAATATTTTTCCATTTATTTTATATTCCCATGAGTCATAAGTTGAATAAAAATATCTATTTTATTATTATTTTGGATCAGAAAGGCAAATTTTGATTATTTTCTACACATTGTTTTGTTTTACGATGAGCATTGGCAGTAAAATTCTAATTTATTGCGCTGTTTAGATGTTTTTTTAAATCCTTAATAATGGATATTTATTTAAATATTCTAAATCACATCCATACGTCTTAGAAAAAGTTAAGGAATATTTATTATTTTTAAGATTATTGGGGGGCGGGGGGGGGGAGGAAGTTGGTGGTAATGGTGGGATTAAAATCAATTTTTCGTCACGCAATAAATGACCATAAATATTAGATTTTTTCAGCTGTTTCCTTAAGGGCCGTTCACTTATGACGTCCAGGGGGGGGGGGGGGGGTCAGCAAGAAAAAAACAATAGAAATTCCTGGAATTCTATTGTTTTTTTTTTGAAAAATAACCATTCATATTGGACGTCATAAATGAACGGTCCCTTATTGCTTCACAGTATCAATTACTAATTTTGATTAATACTATATCAGTGCTGTCCAACCTTTTTTGTGCAACGGTTCACCTTCACATACCATCATGACAAAAACCGCACACAGCATTCGGTTCGTGGTTCATATCCCAAAATTTTCACACTAATGTGCCGTGGAACACAGATTAACCATCACTGCTCTGTCTTAATATGAGATTAAGTAATGACGTTTCAAGAGGTTTTTCAAATTATTGTTTATTTAACCTTTTGAATTTTTATTTTCTTTTTAAAACCTATGCTGATAATGACTCCTTATCATGTTTATGCATTTTAATATAAATTGATTCTGATTCTTACAGTCAGCTTGCCAGTTTAAAAGTTGTCGTCAACTTATACAGTAGAATAATTATTTCATTCTCTGTTCTTAAAATAATTAAAATGATTTTTAAGGTCTTTTCATTTTTGTGTATTTGTGATATTTTGCTGTCCAGCTCTGTAGTTTTTGGAGAAAGCTCAGGAGGGAATAATCTCAATTGTGGGAAGCCTCAGGTGAAGCATGTCCAAACACCAAGTGGATCACAAGTAACAAGAGGAGCTTTTCCATGGTAAGTATTGTTGTGAATCTACTGCTGATGCTCAGCAAATGAAGATGGTTCTGACTAAGATTATAAGGCACAGAAATCATCCGATGGAGCTATAAAGTGCTAACCATGCTTAATCCGGTGCTGTATTCTGATAAGTTTTGGCTAATCTACTGTTACCCTAGATTTGAACCATGACCTTTGATGGAATTGCTTTACTAGTACAATATATCAAACTTCAAATACCTTTATATTTTATTCTACAGGAATGCAGCTCTTTTAACCAGTGACGGAGAGTTTTTTTGCAGTGGAACTTTGATATCAGCCGATGAAGTTGTAACAGCCGCGGGATGCATTAAAGCTAAATCCTCAGACACATCTTTCCAGCCTAAAGATATAGTTGTTCTTCTTGGATTTCAAAACTTAAAAAGTGTATTTGAAGTTGGACGACTTTCAGTTGCTGTCAAGAGCATTCGAGTCCATAATGATTGGAATCCACAAACTGCTTCTTTTGACGCTGACATTGCTATTTTGGAATTGGATGATAATGTAAATTTTGGACCGTACATCCAACCTATTTGCTTGTTTGACGCTGAAGCTGATGCTGCATCACTCAAAAATGCTTCAATTGTTGGATTTTCAAGCACTTTAAATGGAGGAGTAGCTAAAGTTCCAAGACTTCTCGACACACCAATTGTTGGTTTTGAGAAATGCACAGAAGAGGAAGGATATCGTGGTCTGTTAAGCAATCGAATGATTTGCGGTGGTCTTGCTGATGGAACTGGTCCATGCTTTGGTGATGGCGGCACTGGAATGATTGTTGCTAAAAATGGAGTTTATTACCTTCGTGGAATCACATCAGCAACTCTTATCAACGCTAAAGGATGCAATAATGATGCTTATTCTGTTTTTACTGATGTTTTAAAGTTTTGGGACTGGATGAACGAGCTCTTGATCCAGTAAAATCAATTATGTGTATTGCCATGTGAATAAATCAAACTTACAGTTTGTAGCCGCGTTTTATTAGACTTTATTTTAACATTCTAGCCCTAATCGAGGATTTTATAGCTGATTGAACGATCGACTCTCGGGAATTTCCAACTATAATAGTTATCAAAGTCAATATACAATCATGAACTCAAAATTTCATAGCTTAAAAAATTCCCAGATCTAAAAAATAGCCATTCATTCTTTGACCAATAACAGCAGTGGCACCAACAACAAAAAAAGAGCAAAACTCGTTATTGCAGAACATTCAATCTATTTCGATGAACGAAGGCAATAAAAATGCAAATAAAAAAAAGGCACAAAGATGTATAGACACAGAATGAAAAAAGGGGATATAGATGTAGAGACTGGATAGATAAGGAACGAATCTTATAATATTGTTTATGCATTAAATAAATTGAAAAAGAAGAAGACAAGCTTGGGTGGAGAGATCACGTCTGTCTATCATTGATAAAATGTAGCTTAAGGATTGAAGCTTCGGGATGGAGGGTGTGTTCACTTATGATGTCTAATTTTGCAAAAGGAGGGGTTGAGGGCTTAGTTCATACAACTTTACAGGTCCAGTGGTCAGCATTTTATTTTTTAAACAAATTTAAATCAAGTGTTGGTCTCCTCTAGCTACCAATACATCTCCTACTATCCCCTAGTTTCTTGGACGTAACTTTTGAAAGCCCCTTTTCATTTCCTATCAACAAAAATCTTATGCATGAAAATCTAAGCACATCAAAAAGGATGAAACCGAGTTCGAGGTCATGTCTTTTTCTGAACATGAAGATGAGTCTGCAGAAATTGTACAAATGAGATCATGGAAGAGGTTAAGACTTCAATGACCTCATTAAGTACGAGAATTTTATTTACTCATGTTCATTATTCTTGATAAAAAAAAAACAAGCACAAGCGTCGCCGGGATTATGCCGTAAAAATTCATATTTTTGTTTTTGAAAAATTTATCTCATTTAATGGTCCGAGAAATTTAACAGCAGAGGAAGCAGCGTGAAAAGAGATAAAATAATGAGAAAAATGGTGAAAATATTTCACGTAATTTCCATTTTATAGGCAAAGCTGAGAAGTCGATGTACCTTAATATTCTTTTTCTTGTGATTTTAAGTGAGCTGGATTTTTGAGGATATTGAGTTGATGTTACTGGTTTGCAGGCTTGTATTTAGATTAGCTATTGATTGCTATGGATTACGACTGATTACGAGTTTTTAGCACATTTTCCTATCTAGAAGTGACGCTTTTGTCAGCACTTTGTTTGTCTATTCGTCTGTCATCAAATCTCTTGCATTGTTTTCAGCGCTTTATGACCTTCCATCAGATTCAGCATGTGAGAAAGTTTGAATTTAAATTAATCATGTTTCAAAGACATTGAATCATTTTTGAACACATATCGCGACCTTAGTGCTTTATGCTTTATAGAATATAATAATAGATCATCAAACTGATTTTAAGCTTCATTTTAGTTTAAAGCTCATGATTGATTTAATTCATTAATGGCAAGATTTAACTCTTCAAAATGAACCAAACGATTTAAATTTAATTAAAGAGTTTGAAAAATTCATAAGCTGAATTCAACTTTCGACAAATGTTTCTTGGAAAAAGTTCTGCAATTCTTAAATGACACATACAAAATCTGCTTCAATTCTTTAAATTTCTTCATCAACAAACACACAAAAAAAAACATGACGAAGCAACATTTGAAAAAATCTTCTTTATTTCAATTCATAAAAATCAAAGCATTGAAAAAATATTTCGAATGAAGGAAATCTTGGAATGACATGAAAAGAGATGAAACGCATGATGATCAGAGGACAAGGAAACAAGTTGCGAATTAAGAATTAGATGACGATGTACGAAGAAAAAGTAAACTTAAAAGAAGAAGAAGAAGAAGAATCTGTTTTGAAAAAAATCACAAACAAGCATGCTTGTGACATTGAATAAATTTAAGGAAGTGACTGTTCGGACAGTTTTGGGTGCCAGCGATATTACAAAAGTATGAGCTTCTAGGAAGAATCATGGGGAATAAATGAGGCTGCTGCTGATGTTAGTGCATTTCACAAAAATCAGCGATACCAAAAAAACATCAGCTAATAGACCTTCGCTGGAATGAAATCATGGACAAAGTCAACATTTTCATAGGATCATGAAGCAAATGGAAGCAATTAAAAACAAACACATGGTAAGTCATACTTACTTACTTCCTCACTTCAAATACCATAGAATCGTCAAAGTTATACTTGCTTGTAATGGATCCTAGGTAGATAAAGTCGTCGACTACCTAAAATCTCCTTTCTTCAATGACCAAATTAAAGTCGACTAGATTCCTTGTTCTCTCTGTTGCAGCTCTCTTGTGAAATTTTGCCTTTACCTCTTTGACCCAAAACCCGATCTTTTTGAATTCTCGTTCCATTCTGTACGTCATTAGCCAAACCCAGCAATAGCGAAAAGTCATTCCACTTAGTTCTAGTTTAGCACAATGTTAACAGCTTATTTGTCAATATATCGTCTTGTCTTAGTCTGATTTCACACTCAAGTATTCCTGATAGAGTTTTCAGATAGTCAGATAAAAATTTTAAAGGTGTCTCGCCAGAACATGGTACCTTTAGACTTTGTCTAGGCAACACCAATTTGTAGTCATGCCTAACCAAAGGCAAAAAAGTCAAAATGCAATAACTAGCCAAAGACTTTACCTAGAAATGGGCAGCATTTTTTTCCCCTATGCTTAGGTACTGCCTATCTTAAGCAAGCCTTTAGCTGAGCAAAACCTATATTATAATCATGAAGGTACCTATTTTTTCAACATTTTTCAATCCCTAATAAGCACTTACATGAATCTACTCTATGTTTTGTCTAGTCAAAGGCATGATTACGATAGGCACTGCCTAGCAGGGTGGGGAGTTAACTCAAAACTCAAATTCAAACTCATTTTCCAATGAGTTTTGAAATGAATTTGAATTTAACTCATTTTTGAAAATGAGTTTTTTTTGAGTTTGAGTTTAAACTCATTTTTCAAAATGAGTTTTTTTTGAGTTTGAGTTTAAACTCATTTTTCAAAATGAGTTGGAAAATGAATTTGAGTTTAAACTCATCTGTAAAATTGAGTGGAGTTTTGAATTGGAGTTTTAAAAACTCCCCAAATTCCTTTTCATATAAAACTCATCTCTGAAACTCTTAACGATTTTTTTAGGAGTTGCCACTTTTGCCTGAATTTCTCGAAAGGATCATTCCATAATTCTTGCTGATATGACTTGCTGCATATTTTGGATGTTTTGGTTGCAATTCTGTTCAGAATTTTTGGAAGATAATGAAGGAATAAGAGTTTATGGATTTGAGGAAATGACTGGATGACAAAAATGTTCATTCATTTGCTGTACATTTTATTACTGGATCTTTTGGTTCCAAATGTTTGCAATAAATGTTAAAGTAAGCAATGATTTTCAGAACTTTCACAGAAAAATGTTCATTATGCGATTCTTTCACTTACTGTGCCATTATGGCTTTAGAAAAGGATGTCCACGTAACTGGACATGATCATTCATGACTAGATGTAGCTGCATGTGAAGATCCGATCACTTACAATGCTTCAAAAACTTTTTTTCAGCAATTTTCAGCAACCAAGTGTTCCAAATTGTTTAAAATAACACAGAGGATCCATAGGCATTGGAACTGCCTGGTTCCGTTACATCCATAAAAAAATTTTTTGTTCCATTTTCATCAAGGAATAACCTCCTGAAACAAAAAATTTTTTTGAGGAACCAACCAGTTCCTTAGTGCCTGATGACTGAAAATGCTCAGAAATAGTGCTTCATGCTAATTGACTTCATATTTAGCATTTTTAGTCTCCAGGCACTAAAGGAACTGGTCGGTTCCTCAAAAAAATTTTTTGTTTCAGGAGGTTATTCCTTGATGAAAATGGAACAAAAAATTTTTTTATGGATGTAACGGAACCAGGCAGTTCCAATGCCTATGGATCCTCTGTGTTATTTTAAACAATTTGGAACACTTGGTTGCTGAAAATTGCTGAAAAAAAGTTTTTGAAGCATTGTAAGTGATCGGATCTTCACATGCAGCTACATCTAGTCATGAATGATCATGTCCAGTTACGTGGACATCCTTTTCTAAAGCCATAATGGCACAGTAAGTGAAAGAATCGCATAATGAACATTTTTCTGTGAAAGTTCTGAAAATCATTGCTTACTTTAACATTTATTGCAAACATTTGGAACCAAAAGATCCAGTAATAAAATGTACAGCAAATGAATGAACATTTTTGTCATCCAGTCATTTCCTCAAATCCATAAACTCTTATTCCTTCATTATCTTCCAAAAATTCTGAACAGAATTGCAACCAAAACATCCAAAATATGCAGCAAGTCATATCAGCAAGAATTATGGAATGATCCTTTCGAGAAATTCAGGCAAAAGTGGCAACTCCTAAAAAAATCGTTGAGAGTTTCAGAGATGAGTTTTATATGAAAAGGAATTTGGGGAGTTTTTAAAACTCCAATTCAAAACTCCACTCAATTTTACAGATGAGTTTAAACTCAAATTCATTTTCCAACTCATTTTGAAAAATGAGTTTAAACTCAAACTCAAAAAAAACTCATTTTCAAAAATGAGTTAAATTCAAATTCATTTCAAAACTCATTTTGTAACGGAATTTTAACTCAAATTCATTTTTTGAATTTTGAATTGTGAGTTAACTCATGAAATTCTCCCCACCCTGCTGCCTAGGTAAAGGCAAATAATATTGCATTCTTGCCAAGTCTTAACTCGGTATTGGCTTTGGCTAGGCACGGTATATGATGTGGTTCCTTGCACCTTACACAGCACATGACTTTCCCAAGCGTCGGTTTAAAAAATCATAAAAGAATTTGGATTTTATTCTCGTCATTAAGCTTTTATCATACAATTATGCGAATTATAGAGTTTCACAACAACAGAACAGTTCAGATTTCAAGCTGAGAATCTAAAAATCTTGCAATGTTCAAATTACGACTTGTAATAAATTCTTCTTATTCTTCTTACTCAGTGGTTCCAGCAACACGACTACGACCAGATATTGAAGCTTGGAAAATGAATCAAATGATTGTAAATAAAGTTTAAGAAGAAGAATCGCTGGAACAGAAAAAGGTGATGATTCTGAAATTATGTGACAAAGCAATTAAGGAATCATCACAGCATGAGAGCAAATCATTCATGTAACATGAATCTGAGAAGAACAACATGAAAAAGATATGCAAAATATAAAATTTTCCACCGCCGAATACTTCAGTTCACAAAAATAAAGACAAATATGGAAGTTCCTCGTATGGTATTAGATCAACAGTCATCTTTTGATCCATTTCGTTCTCCAACTGCTGCTGAGCAACCTCACTTTCCAAATAGCAAGCGAGTCAAACATTTAGATGATCAAGAATACTATAAATAACTGCACATCTATCATGTCGTCC